ATAAAATCGAGATGATAAATTGGAACGTTTTTCAATTTTCCAATTTAGATCACTGTTTCTTTCTTGATTTTCTATGGTGCACCTTACTTCTATAGTTGTTGCAACCTTACAAGGTTATATAATAAATGAGCATAAAGTAGAAGGACGGGATTACATATATATTTTCTCTATAATACAGTTTACTTTGAAATTATGAACATCCGCGAACCTCAACCGGGCACACCTAAAAAGAAAGATAATAAAAAAATGTGTTGCCAATTTTGAATTGACCAAAATACTCGTAGATGTGTTAAAGGTATTTTAATCAATTTATTTTCTACAAATAATTTTACTTTATATTTAGGTGTGCCTAGGTGTGGGGACAATCAAAGTTTCATACCACACCAAGAAGTATAAAAAAAAAAAATTAAAATTACAATACTACGTCAAATCTTGGTCATTTATGTTTTCTCCTTCTAATGTAAGCCATTGAAGGGTGCTTGTGCATGCTTCTAGCATCCTTGCTAACATTTTCTAAGTTTTCCCGGTTTTATTGAAAATTTCATTCATCCGTTATTTGTTAACCATTTTATTTTGGGAAAATTAAATAAATATCTGTTTTAATTTCCGTTATTATTAAAATACCGAATATTTTTTGTTATTACTGATATGTACGTTTTTTGGACTTCATAACAATTTTTTTAAAAAAGATGAAACTACCCATTTTTCAGTTTTCCAAAAACCAAAATCATCGCCAATTTCGATTTTAGAAAAACCGAAAAAAAATTTCTCTCCTAAAACCAACAAGTTTCTGACAAAAAAACCAAAAGGCCCTTGTCAGTATGCTCTTCAAAACCCCACAATCATGGCCGCTCCGATTAACAAAGGTGGTTTCAGAGATAGAGGTTTCAGGGAGAGAGGGGGTCTCTGTTTGAGAGGAGAGGGGGTCTCTAATTGAGAGTGGGGGTTTGAGAGAGAGGGTTTGAGAGAGATAGAGAAGGTTCTTCAATTAGTAACGATGGTTTCAGAGATAGAGGTTTTAGGGAGAGAGATCTCAAAGAGGGGTTGAGAGAGAGAAGGTTTCAAAGAGATAGAGAAGGGGTTTCAGAGAGAGGTAGAGAGAGAATACGCAGATGACCCGCAAGAGAGAGAAAAATTTTCGGTTCTTCAAAAACCAGAGGTCCACCTTCACCGGTTTGCTCTTCAAACCTCACAACCATGGCCT